GAAAGCCCCGATGACTGCAGAGAGAAGATGATCCCCGGCTTCTTAGGCTGGGGCCTCCTCTAACCGGACGAGGCAGTATGGGCGAGGAGGCCTTTGGGGTGGAGGGTGGGGGTGCCGCTCTGGCTCGAATACCCGCTCGAGGGAGACATTGTGCGGCCAAAGCGGTCGGGAGAGCCGGGCTCCTGAGCCTCGCGGCTCCCGTCGACCTCCTGCAGCGTGCTGATGGTCCTCGGGCTCCGGTGAGAGATGTCTGGAGAGCAGGCCGGACTGCCGGACTGCAGGCTGCTGGTGCCTCTCGGGGAGGCAGGGGAGAAGACGTCGTCCTCGCTGGCGCCTTCCCGGTGGGGCCTCCGCTCCGGCTTGGGAGGCAGCCCCATTCCTCGGGGCGCCCCTTCGGCTTCCAGCTGCTGAGCCTTCTGGTGCAAGGAGTAAGTCCTCCGGGGAGGCATGGGGGCCACCTTCATTTTCCTGAGCGAGACGCTACGGGTCGAGGACCGGTCACTGCGCACACTTGCACTGTCCGAGCCCTCAGTCACGCTGCCGGTGCTGTAAGCGGGTGAGGCCCGGCCGCTGCTCCCCGACGGCCGCACCCCCAGGAGGCTGGGGGAGGCGGGGGCGGCCTTGGCCCTGACCTGCCTGGAGCTGGCGGGGCTGAGGGAGCTGAGCTGGTCAGGGTCAGGCCTGCCCACAGAGGGGCCTGTGCTGCCCAGCCCAGCCTCATCCCTGTGGCCGCTGGGGCCCCCGTGGGAAGAGATGGTAGAAGCGTTGGAGACAATGGTCTCTGTGGACTGTGAATGGCTCCAGTTGTCGCTGGAGGAGGAGTGCTCACGGCTGCGGGGGGCAGCGGGGAAGTGGCCCGTGGAGCGCACCGAGAGCGCTGGGCTTGCGGTGGCCAGGCTGCAACGGCTGAGGGTGCGCACCCGGTTGCGGGACAGAGCAATGACATCCACCATGGGCGGCAAAATGGCATTGGGAATAATCTTCGACAGGTAGGTACCCTGTGGTGAGATGGACATGACTGGGCTCAGGAGCTCAGAGGAGCTGGGCTGGGTGGTTATCCAGGGAACGGCCAAGGACCTGGGCCTGGCCACAGGAGACAGTTTGGCTGCCGTCTTGTGGCCCAGCACCGAGTCGTCGTAGTAGACATGGTTGATGTGCTGCTGGAGGGCAGCCTCTGAGGCGTGAGCCTCAAGAGCCTGGAGGGAGACACGGGCACCCCTCTCAGGGAGGGCGGTGGGCAGCGGCTTCCCATCGATGGTGGGGATCTGGATGGCAGGGCTGGGCAACTGACTCCCGTTCACCAGGGGTGGCAGGCCTGGGCCAGCTCTAACAGCAATGCTGCCGGGCCGTTTCTTGGAGTCGCACCCGTTGCTCAGGCCTGCAGGCAGAAAGAAGAATGGGCATTAAGGTCATCAACCCAAGACAGAAGTGAAGAAGGAAATGGGTTGGGACCAAGGCCAGAAAACCAGAGCCCTTACATCCCAGAAGCGCTTTGCCAGTCCCTTTCCATTCCTTTCGCTCAACACATAAGCGGGTGCCACACATCCCTTAAAATATCACGGCTGGTATCGGCTTAGCATGTTGCATGAACCCAGCCAGAATAGTTGCAAGGCATGTTTATGGCTCAATGCAATGTGTAAATCCAGTCCTGGTTGCGCACAACTGAGCCCAAAGGGAAATACTGTGACCACTCACAATCTCAGGAACAACCCCATCTTAATGCGCCATCTTAACGCAAGGAGGAACATCTCCTCAGTGCAAAGGAAACCAGGCCAACAAGTTGTCTGGTTCACACAATATGCTAAATACAATGGCTGTGTTTGTTGACTTTAGTCCCAAGTAAGTAAATCAGATTAAGGCATAAAAAGATGGTCTAGTTCATATAATACGCTTAGACAAGGGCTGGGTTCCCACAATAAGCTGAACCCCAAACTACTCAGCCCCATTTTAGCTGAGCTCAGCACTGTGTGCAAAGCCAACCAACATCTGGCTGTTCTGGCCATGCAGCCAACCTTCTCCTCTTGGTTGGCCAAGCAGGAGATAGGAATTGGCATCATGGCGTGGTGTCACCCCATGCCCTGACAGGCTCCAGGCAACGATCTGGCCCAAACCATCAACAGGTGCAGGAAAGGACCAACAAGAGGCAGCTCACGGGAAAGTCAAGGAGGAGAAAAAAAACCACATAATGGGATTTATGTTCTAGGAGCTTTAGGTTTGCCTTAAAAAAATCTGGAGTAAAAAACTGCTGCAGCTCAACTCAAATGCCATTTGAGAACAAGTCTAGAATTTTCCATTCTAGGCTAAGTTTAGATAATCGTTCTTCGCTTTAATTCTGGAATTTATATTCTGCATTGTAGCAGGACGTCTTCCACACTCATGAAGCTTAAAGCAAAATCTACACTGAGGTGGTAACTATAATGGTCAGTAAGTAAACGCTGCGTGCCTTGAAAGCCAGCCCAAATGGCAAGCTCCTACTGAAGCCAAGGAGCCACACACAGACAGGCCTGGTCAACAAAACCCAGCTCAGCTTCAGGGGCATCCTGTTTGGCACAGGGTGGGCTCCCCCAGAACAAATTCCGGGGCCACAAACTCAGTAGGTGACAGATTAAAGCTGTTTCTCCTCTCTAAAAATAACACCTGGTCAAAAACAAAGTGCTAAAAATTGCTCTGTAGGGCAATCACTGCTCCCTGTAGGAATGGGGCTCAGGAGGTCAACGGTCTCCATCTGGGAATCAGGGGGCCAGATCCTTTCTAGGGGCTGATGCTTCCCCAACGCCTTAGCTAAGCAAGCATTTTATACACACGGATTGACTTAAAGGGGGGCCTATTCCATCTTCTGCCCTACCACAGCATTGACTGTACCTGCACCAGAAGCCTTTCTCCAGACTCTCACCAACCACCCCCAATTTACCTAGCCAGGATCCACGATGCAAACAGAAGACAGGCAGTTGGATCTCCTTGCCATCTAACAATCCGGACGCAGGTCCCTCGCCCACCGCCTCCCCTGGTTCGTGCCCAGCCCGCGGCTTACCCAGCTCCTTCTGCACGTGTTGAGGCAGCCCCAGAACTGTCGTCCTCCGCTCCCTCCGCCTCTTTTCTCCCTTCCCAGAGGATTTGGGAAAGGAATCGTGTGGCCGGAAGGTGGAGCCTGCAAGCGGCCGAGAGAGACAAACCGAGTGAGGCCAGCAAAAGGTACAGTGATTGCCCAAAATTTGGCAGCAGAACATAAGCATCCATTGGCAATTTTTTTCCTGACAGGGCTTTTGCAAATATGTCAGATTGAATAGATGCGCTAAGACTCCACCTCAACACACTTACTTTGCTTAAAACTAAAAGGCAAGCCTTACAAAGCTTGAGGCAAAAGGGGGCAAAGGATTCAGACTGTTTCTTCCTGTAAGGGACCTCCTGTCGGCCTCAAGGCCTCCGAGGTCCTGGGGGGGGGGCAAAATGGTGCCTCGCTTGGCTTATCTCCAGCCACATGTGCTGGGGGTGGGCTCGGGCCCCCCTTGAACTGAGATTTCTCAAGAACCACGGCACGGTGGGGCTGGGAGGGAGTCCCACCCGCTGCTCAGTGCAGGAATCAAACTGAAGCGTCCCAGATCAGTGGCTGCCCAGCCCCTCTTGAACCTCCCCGCTGAAAGGGCGCCCACCAAGCTCTCTGGGCCGGCGGCTCAATGGCTGAACTCCTCTTCCAATCCTTCTTGCCAACAGAATCTGCCTTTCTGTACCCTGAGAGCTTATCCTCAACCCTGCTCTCTGGACAACAGAGAAATACAGCTCTTGACATCCCTTCAGAGAAGGACATCCTTTCAGAGAAGGTCTTCTCTTCTCTGACTGCAAACACCCCAACTCCTCCAGTCCGTCTCCCCAGGCCAGCTCCCACTTCCCTGCTGCCCTCCCCTGGACCCAACCCCAGTCTGCCTGAACCCGCAGGACGGCAGCCGGCTCCACCCCAGGCAGGGGAGGTCTGTGGCCACCAAGAGGTTCGATGCCGAGAGGCTGCTGCTGTTCGGCTTCCGCCTGGCCCCTTCCTTTGGTTGGAGAGCAAACTCCTCTCGTGTCCCCGGCTCAGCATTGGAGCCCTCAGAGTCAGGAAAGAGCCCAGAGCCTCGGTTGTCCTTCCCACTCCAGGACGCCTGCTGGCCGGTACCTTTCCTCTGGATCATTTCAGAGCGGACAGACATGGCGTCCTCGGAGGCGTTCTCCGTGGTGCAAGAGGAGGCTTGACTTCGGATGGAGAGATCATCGCCCTCAGTGGACTGGGAAGACTGTGCGTCACATGGGAAGGCAAAAAAATAGGCAGTGTGAAAAGCCCTATAACAGCTCCTCTTTTTAAAAAAAAAAAAAAAAATTACATATACAAATATAATCAGAGAAAGCAGCAACAAAAACATTTTAAATAAAGAAAGTTTGCAAGCACTCTGAAGCTGATTAAAAAATTGAAACAAAGTTGATATAAACCTATGTATTAAAATGTCTCTGTCAATTTGGAAGCCGGAATCGGTGTTCAGATCCCACAAGCATATCCTCAGGCTTGTCCTCCACAACTGACACTTTCTGAAGGGCCAGGGGGCACGCCAAAACGCACACCGGCAATCTGCCACACACAGATGTTCAACAGCGCAGTGCAAGAACCTTTCCAGCAGAAACACGGGACAGGACCACGGACAAAATCTGCCAACCAGTTGCTTCCCTCTCTTGCCTTGCAGGAGGAAGCAAGCTCCGGACACGGACGGAAGCATTCCGCGTGCCCACCAGGTGGCGCTGCTTGGCTGCCATAATCTTGCTGTTGCTCCCACAGGAAAAGAAGCCTGCAGGCTTGTGCTTTCAAGGGCACAAATCCGTCTGACCCGAGGGCCACGGAAACAGGGCAAAACGGTCCATTAGACTGCCTTAGTTTCGCATGTTTGTCGGGACAGTTGCTGGGTCTCTCAATTCGAGCCCTGCCTTCCTGCAGAGACGCAAGAGCAGTGGGAAGAATCAGCAGCAGTGGAAAAGCCTATCCAGATGGGGAGTGGGCTGTACTTAGGGGTACACACCCCCTGGTTAAGCAGATGCCCACCATTTCCTATCAGAGAGTAAGATTAGGAAACACTTTCCCTTGACGCTTTGGAGAGCAAAAGGTGTGGATGAGGCCATCCTGGTTTAGACTAAGGATAAAGCAGCATGGAAGACGTGCGGATGACCCAAAGGCTACTGGACCCCCCTCCCACTCAGCCAGCATTTTGTGGGTGCAGTTCTGTGAACTACAGTGCTGTGCAATGAAAGAAGCTTGCTTTCTACACAACATTCAGCAAAGGGCCTCAACGATCATTTTGAGTCTTTGGGTTGCGAAGACAGGCATGCAACTGCATGCAACGTCGCCAAAATCGACTCCTGTGCTTGACAAGGGCTGGTGGGGTGGGGTGGGGGGTGTCAATGCGGTAGTTCAAGTTTTCTTATGTTCCCCCCAAGAACTCAAGACAGCAGATGTAGGACTCCCATTTACAGTGCCATCCCTGTGAGGTAGGCTGGGCTGAAAGAGAGTCACTGGGCCAAAGTCACACAGGGCGTTCCCATGGCTGAGGATGGGCTTGAACCCGTCCTATTCCAACGCCTTCACCACCACCACACGGGAAAGAGAGAATCTTTCCAAGCAAGATCGGAAGCAGAAGAACGTTACAAAAATAGTGAATGTTACACACAGGTGATGCACATTTGCTCCACTTGTTACACTGCAGGCAAGCTGCGGAGTTCAGGTATCTCAGGCTGTGCGATGGGAAATTGCTCGGTCGCACTTTGGACATAATACCCCTCAGAGAGGGGTTTTGAGTACCATGTTTTTGTCTTGATTTCCAGAGGGCTGCAATTTTCCAATGACTCAAGTTGCCTTTTTCAAATTTAAATTTTAAATGAGAGCCAGTTTCGAGTAGTGGTTCAGGTGGTGGATTAGAAACTGGGAGGTTGTGAGTTCTAGTCCTCCTCTAGGCGTGAAAGCTGGCTGGGAGACCCTGGGCCAGTCATTCTCTCTCAGCCCAGCCCACCTCACAGGGCTGTTGATGTGGGGAAAAGAAGAGGCAGGAGAATTAGGTATATATTAAAAAGTTGTATATAAAAAGGCAGGATATTATAATATTAATAATAATAATCCCCCAGTGAAGCACTATGTTGACGTGGTTCTGGGGCTTGCGTGCTCCGAGGTGGACGAGAGCTGAGCCAGAGGTTCAACCACACTGGACAGGTCTCATCAGAGGCCAGATGAAGAGTGTCTCTCCCATAAACAATATGGTGAGATACCATTTACAGAAACCTATACCAGATCGGTCATTGCCCAGGACGAGGACTGTGCTACGCGTTCTAGTTCCTGGGCATCTGGTGACAAGTGAGCTACAGGACTCAGGACTGCTGACTGAGCAACCAGGGCCAGCAGCTGCAGGACTACTGGAAGAAAAGTTGTTTACCCATTGCAAATATATGACGACTGAAAACAAATGTTCTGCTGTTACAAATCAAGTCCAACGAGAAGAGGATATCTGAAAAGAATGCACCACTTCTGGAAAGAACAACACCCAAAATCAGAAATAAGAGAACAGAGGCTAGCAGATCAATGTTGATTTATAACATGAACTAAAGTATTCGCAGAAGTAGAACTGCAAGAACTGCAAAGGTCTATCCAGGGCAAAGAAATCGAAGCCTTGCCAGAAGTAGCTCAGGCTGTAGAGGCAAACCAGGGGGAGTCGGCAGTAGAGGAAGCAGTGGGGCAAAAAAGTATTTAGTCAGCCACCAATTGTGCAGGTTCTCCCACTTAAAAAGATGAGAGAGGCCTGTAATTTTCATCATAGGTATACCTCAACTATGAGAGACAAAATGGGGGAAAACGTTCTTGTGATCATTTTGACCCCACGGGGTGAGATCTTGCGTGGAGCCCCAGATCGAGGGAGATCAGGTTCTCCCACTTAAAAAGATGAGAGAGGCCTGTAATTTTCATCATAGGTATACCTCAACTATGAGAGACAAAATGGGGGAAAACGTTCTTGTGATCATTTTGACCCCACGGGGTGAGATCTTGCGTGGAGCCCCAGATCGAGGGAGATCAGGTTCTCCCACTTAAAAAGATGAGAGAGGCCTGTAATTTTCATCATAGGTATACCTCAACTATGAGAGACAAAATGGGGGAAAACGTTCTTGTGATCATTTTGACCCCACGGGGTGAGATCTTGCGTGGAGCCCCAGATCGAGGGAGATCAGGTTCTCCCACTTAAAAAGATGAGAGAGGCCTGTAATTTTCATCATAGGTATACCTCAACTATGAGAGACAAAATGGGGGAAAACGTTCTTGTGATCATTTTGACCCCACGGGGTGAGATCTTGCGTGGAGCCCCAGATCGAGGGAGATTTTTTCCCCCATTTTGTCTCTCATAGTTGAGGTATACCTATGATGAAAATTACAGGCCTCTCTCATCTTTTTAAGTGGGAGAACCTGCACAATTGGTGGCTGACTAAATACTTTTTTGCCCCACTGTATGCTGGCTTCCTCTACTGCTGACTTCCCCTGGGTTGCCTCTACAGTCTGAGCTACTTCTGGCAAGGATTCAACACTGTGGCTGTTGAATCGTTTTCATTCCCAAACCAGGCACCCTCTCCTCTGCCTTCTCCCCAGAAAGAACGAAGCCCTCCAACTAAAAAACAAAAGGAATTGAAACAAAGAATAACTGAGCATCTAGAGCAGCACAAAAAGAACAGAATAAGGTTGCCTGCATTGAAGCTTGTTACAAAGAAACAGCTAGCACAAGAATTAAAAGATGCCAGTACTGTAATATCTAATATAAGCACCGGGTCACTGCAAGAAACAAACCAACTGATGTACAGCACAGCTGCAGTTATGACTGAATAGCTTGGATGCAAAATCAACAAACAAGAAAAAAAGCCAAACGATGCACCACCAAAATGGAAGATCAGGTTGGAAAGTAAGATCAGCATGCTAAGATCAGATGTAAGCAAGCTAGAACAGATGAAAGAAAAGAAGCTGAAGAACAAGAAGAACAAAAAATACCTCATCAAGAAATATAACCTAGAAACAAGGAAGATCAAAGAAGCACTGGAAATAATAAAGCAGCAAATAACAACCATAGCCAAGAAGATCAGCAAATACAAAGCTTGAATTGCACACTACAGGCAGAATCTCCAATTTCAGTCAAATCAGAAACGTTTCTACCCATCCATCAATGGAGAGACCGCAATGAACCATTCAAAACCTGACAAAGCAGCAACAGTGCAGTTCTGGGCGCAGCTATGGGACAACCCAAAGAAATACAACAAGAATGCAGCT